AGATACGCGCTACAGTGTGGTTAGAATAATAAAAAATACATACGTGTAAGTTCGCTATTCAAGTCATTATTTTAATCAGTGCACTCTAATCCTTCTAGTACTTTAGAAATTACAAACATTCAGTCCTCGACTGCCGTGATTGGTTGTGATTCAACTTGCTTCACTAGCTTAATCGTGAATTTTATGACATGAAAACGAAAACATACCAATCCATCCGAATAACATATATTTTATTCCACAAATATATTAACGCGGTCTACTTGGCCTAAGTTAAACTATTGACATTTCAAATAGTTTTGGTTGTAAAAAGAACTACTTTATTTTTCTTATCGTTTGACATATCCGAACGTGCCACATGCTAAATAAACGTTCCAATAACGATTTGCAGCTGTTATATTTATTTATGTTACACATAAAATGCAGTAACGATGGCAAAATATCATAATGCTTGCGTAACTGATCTTGAGTAGTAAATGAAAGCGGGGGTAGTTATTGCTTTAATTATGAATACGATTCAGAGCTCTACTACTCTTGGGTGTCTCTTAACCACCGAGGAACAACACGCTACTAAAATTCTACAATCTCTAGACGCAGTAGTTGTCTCTACTAACCAAATACCTCAACTATATGGACATAAATAACGTTTAGTGGCTATCGCTCGAGTTGTCGTAAAGAAATCGCTCGAGTAGTCGTAATGAAATGGCTCGAGTTATATAAAAATAATTAAAGTGTCATCCATAATAATAATAATAATAATAATAATAATAATAATTAACAATAATAATAATAATAATAATAATAATTAATAATAATAATAATAATAATAATAATAATTAATAATAATAATAATAATAATAATGATGATGATGATGATGATGATGATGATGATGATGATGATGATGATGATGATGATGATGATGATGATGATGATGATGATGATGATGATGATAATAATAATAATAATGATAGTTGTGGGTTTATAGAGCGAATAATATGAAGACCTCCGTGGGTTTTTACAACCGTAAGTGTTCATCATTCATTATAAAAAAACATTAAATTTTATTCCTTTTTCATCCTTCTATACATATTAAAATGAAACATTCATTGCTCTTTATTCTGCGACTGGCTGTGATGAAGTGCGTACTTTCCTTTAATTTTCTGTGTAAATAGGAACGCAATAGAAACTACGTAACAACAAAGATTGTGGCCCAAAGCCAAATGTTAGTACTGTACTGTATTATAATACCAGTCTCATTATGGAAACAGGTTATTTTCATTACATTAAAAGTCACTTTTGAGAGCATTATTATGCCTACATCTAACTTTCAGTGTAAACAATACAAGGTCACTAAACAGTGACTACATGTGTGATATACTATAAAAAGGCACATAAACGAACTCGTTGAAAAGAAGAAGAACTTTAATACAAGTTTGTAGTGAAAGCGAAAGCTGTGTAAAGCCTAGTAGGCCTACTCACTGCGCCCGATGGTTGTCGGCCGACACGATCCTATGTAGAACGCAACGGCACGACGCGCGCGCAACGGATTGTTTTGAATGACGATCCGACTATCACCGACGATCAGCAGACGGTGTCGCGTTGCCTAGCGCTCACAGGGAGCGGAGTTGGGGTCGTCGTACGACATAGTCACAGTCAGTGCCTGGCTTTTCTCCATATGTAATGTTTTCGTCAATCTCGAAGTGGCGGATTCGAATCCAACGCCGACACAACTCGCGTGAGTTCTTAAGCATTATCTTCGCCTGTCTCACCCAACAGTATTTATGGGTTCAGTATCCGATGGATTCAAAAGATGTAGGCCTATGTTTTCTGCGCATTTGATTTGTGCTGAATATAGAACGGCGGATGAGGTTGCAAATCGTTCCATTTCGATGATAATAAAGAGCGCATGGCGACTTTATGCGAAAAGCCCTATATAAATGCAAATTGAAATCAAAAAATAATTTTAAGAAGTTGTGAACCAGTGCGACACATTTAATGTTAGCGCGTCATAAATGGGGTTAATCGATAGTTGTGACTCTTTATAATAAGTTCAGATATGGTTTTTACATCTCTCTAGAGAAAGGTAAGGTAGGCCTATGTAGGTTTGTTTTTTGTTTTTTGTTTTTTTTTTCACTCGAATTAATACTCATATAAATTTTTTAATGCTCTATATCCTATCGGTGTTTATTTATGAACAGAACTTTTGAAGAAGTCGTTATGATAGAAGGAATAAATAACACTTTGAAATCTAGTTCAAAATTGCATTGGATATAATGTGCACATAGGGCCTACTTGATGAATGAGAGATAGATAAATACGTATACCTATCGGGTGTTTCCATCGAGAATTCAACCCGAGATCTCCGTCATCTGTTGTACCAGCTAAGCTACTGGTTATAATTTACGGTTGGATTATAAATTTATATCTTGTGAAATTGAATGAATCGAAGAGCCCCCTGGAAAAGCTGCAGTATTAAGGCTACTGTACTGAAAGACATCTATGTAGGCCTATATATATA